AAGTGCGATTGACGGTGTTGAATACAACTGTTGTGACGGCGAAGACAGTGACCAATGCACCGATCGAGTGAAAACTATAATATCGGTGCTGTGTAGTCGGCGGTGAAAGGAGGTATTATATACTGGACAAAAGATAGAGTATCGGTGGATCACATCGCAACGAACAGAAGAACTATGTACCTAATACCTATACTGGCTACTATAAATAATAATCTGCATTATATGTTCAGCAATTTAGCACTAACTGTTACCGCGAGTATTGTAACGCCGTTGTTCGCTACCGGAAATACAGCAGGAATGCAGGATAGGCTTGCACTGAGTGCCACTGACCCAACCGTGTTTAAAATTTGAAATTGATACGAAAATTAAATTCATAAGAAACCGCATACAATTGGTAGAAACAATAAGTTAGGTTACCTATATAAGGTATACGATATAACAGCTAACGTCCTAACCTGAGACAGTGGCGTATCCAGGAGGAGGGCAAAGGAGCATTTGCCCCCCCCCCCCCAATCGCCATAGTTTCCCTTTGTTTTACACTGTGTTTAGCCAATTTTGGAACTTTTTGTACTTTCCCCCCCCCCCAAAAAAAAAAAAAAAATTAAGCCCTGGACCCACCCCTGACCTGAGATAGTCTATCAAGCATTTTTTCAAACATATCTTTGAACTCATTTGCAGCCTTTTTATAATCCGTGATTAGTGACCATACTCTTCATCCCTTGTATATAACAGTTAATTTTGCCTTAACCGGCTTGACCACAACCTTAATTTCATTAGCCTTCTTAAAAAATAGTTTTACCTATTTGTAGCTGTTCTCTATTGCTTCGTCGCTTTAAGTCTAGAGTTTTCCCATGCCCGTACTTTCCTTTTATAAGTTATAATTACTTAATATACGTAATACCGACCTATATTATAAATAATTGTATTAACTAGGTAACTATTAATGATAAATTCAATTTTGCATAATCTTAATTATAAAAAAAAAATGTCATTAATGTTATCTTATATGATGTATAAATGTATTACTCATTTACCTTGAATTATCACGGCATTTAACATTATAAGCTCGTATTATGATGTAGGTAGGTAGGTCGTAGGTACTATAACATTTTCTATATCATTAATAGACAATAATAATTAAAGGTACTAATAACTAGGATATACGAAATCTGTGTTGAAAATAGTGTGGAAGGAGTTAGGTAAGTATAATATTGTGTACATCTATTATTCCAATAGGTAGGCGGTGATCTAGGGAAGACACGAGATTATTTTTTGTTATAATATGCCATATTACAAAATATAGTAATTAGCGGCTAATTAATAATTATTAGCCATACTATATTGTAGGTCATCCCTTTAATTTCAATAATTAAATTATACAAAATGAGTGCCCACCTATAATAGACATTTTATAACGGTAGGAAGTAGGAGCTGTTTTTGAAACAATGAAATTAAATGATAATTATATGGATATATCGACTCTTGTTGTCAAATCGTCATGTCGCCGCCTCGTCCAACATATTATTATAGTAATAATATTATGGGTACATTTTAATCATTTTATACATATGGTTGTGTTACATATTACAGTGCTGTTTTCATTATATTATTATGACGTGTTAATAATGTATAAATAGTGTCTGTTTGCTCTGTCAACTTCTAATACGATTATTCTATAGGGAAAACCGGTAACGGCGGTAACTTTATAACAAATACTTAGGGTAGAAATGTCTGCCATAATGGTTGTGCCTCGTTTCGTTTCGTAAATTATACTGACGAGTAAAAATAATTATAAAATATTATGTCAGTATGTCACACAATAATTATGAAGTATGCCTTTAATGCAGGGAAGTGGGTTGCTTTAACAATCATTCATTAAACATCAATATTCAATAGTGAGCTAATGGTTCCATACACATGATTTAGTAGCGCATAATTGGTACATTAAATTAATACTTTTTTATGCAACCCAGCTATAATCTTTATTCTTTAATATAAATAAAAAAGGAAATTAAGTTTAGTAGGTATATAAGATAGGTCAATTAAATCGTGTTTATAAAGCATAGGTATGACAATAAATAGAAAACAATTAACACTACACGTATATAAAAATAGATGTAGTTGTAAAGTTGTATAATTTATTAATTACCAATAAACGATGTTTATTTAAAATAACACGATATGAAAAACACAAAAAACCTTTTTTGGGTATAGTTACTTAATTACTAATATATCACAACATTATGAATATATTGCATAAAGTTGCCCACAGACCAGAGCGATAGTGACATATTTGTGATATTATGTATTTTACTACACATTGTGTCTTGAAGTAAAAAACGTTATCAATTTTCATTTAAGAATTATAATTTAAAATGTACGGCTTTGACCAAGTCTATTAAAGTAAACAATTTTCATTTAAATAGTTGATAAATATGTATCATATGGATATAATAATATGCGATATATCACCTTGGTCTTTGGGCATCTATTTATACGTACAATGGCATAGTCTTTAAAAAATGTTCAAACTAAATAAAACAAACAATATTTTTTCACTTAAAAAAAATACGAATAATCATGGTTTTCATAATCATTATTTTATATACTAATTTACTCACTCTCATGGACATAATAATATGATATAAATTACCTTAATATTTAATCAAACAATAAATTAACAATATTTACTTTGCCTATAGTAAATGTTTAGACAATTTTTTTAACGTATAAAGTGTTGAAAAACGTATAAAAACTATATATTTATATTGCACTCATAATTTGGTAATCTAAAGTAAATAATATAATATTGGTAATCAGTAAAAATTTTTAGATCATAAAAATAATAAACAAATATAATAAAAACTTAAAACATAAAATTAAATGTAAAATATCTATATAAATGGTTCACTACTTTGATAAGCTAGGTAAAAATCAGTAAGTACGCAAATTAATTATTGTTGTACATAATATATCTGTACACATATAAAAAATATTTCAATCTATAATTATTATAGTCAATATAAACATTTTGCGTTTATTGTATATATGTTTTCTACCTAGTTATGTACGTCACCGATCACCATTTATATTTTAATATTGCACTATATTTTAAAGATAATAATTAATATGATATTGCACGAATAACACAAAAAATAATAATAATAATTGGTAATATTACGTAGATACATAGTTTTGATGTTTTGTTCTATAGGCACTATATCGTATATGGAATAATATTAAATTAAATATACAATTACAAAAAAAAAAAAAATATATTATGCAAAATCAAACCTGATAATATTAATCGTAATATATTTTTAATAATTATAAAGTCTTTACGAAAAAGTAATTAAATATTTGTTTTATAAATATAAAACATAAATTATTTCATTTAAAATGTATTTTCAATTTTTATTAAAGAACAAAAAATAATTTCGTATTATTGAAGCTAAACGAAAAAAAATATAACCGAATGAAACAAAAATGAATAATTTAATTTTCTTAAAAATTATAAAGTCTATCAATCAATGGATCACCACCAACCAGTAGGTATGAAAGTGAGTTGATAAAATATTTTGTTCAAAATGCTCATAAATGCTACATTATAGTATGCATAAAAACATTTAACAATCCTTATGATTGTAGATTTTTAGTCAGAAACTGGAAAATAGTTTCTTATCAATAATAGTATACACTATAAAAATATTTTAAATACGACTAGAATGATTTATTTATATGTGAATATTATTTGAAATCCAATAAATATTTGTTATATTTGTTACTTTCATTTCTTATTTATACCTATATTATTTTTTTAATTAATTAACATTACACAAATTACAGTAAATACTTGAATTCAAATTTCAAATTTGGCTCGGAAAACAGTATAGGTATACTACAATAGAATTTAAATCGTGTGAACATCTTGGTGTAATATTTTAATCGAGTGAATATCACCATAATATAATATGATATTATACACACTCCATTCCATTCTACCACTTGAATAACGAGAAATAATTTTAAACTCGACAACATGGTTAAAAAATATTAAGTTTTTAATCAATACGAACGATAAAAATGGCAGGATTTCAGTCACTGTTTAGAAAGTACAAAAAGGATTTTAAAACTGGACTTCGACATAGAATATAATATTAGATATATCGACAGAAATACGTCGAATGGCACATGGTTTTTATTAATTATTGGTAGGTATTTACGGAAGATATTTTAATCAACTTAATAATTGTTCTTAACAAAATAAAATAATTATAGTCAATATTTTGATTTTTGGCACATTTCATTAGCATGTGAAAATCACGCTCATTACATATTTACCTACATATATCTGTCTCATTACAGCTGCGGTAAAGGTACCTATATGTACACTGCAGAAATACTCGTAAACATTTTATTAATATTACATGGTATCGTAAAAGTATATATTGAAAAAGATAAATCCCTAAGGTACTAATTAATTATTGTTATATCATGTGAATCGGTTCGTAAAGTATTCGTCTGAGTTCCTTACCTACATTGGAGTCGTGTCTGTCGACGGACGGACACTCTGACGTCGGACGGACAAAATCCACTTTACGTAATTATTTTTACTCACGCACGAACGTTGCAGATAGCGATTTGTGGAAAACAATTTAATATTTTGATATACGGACGTAATAATGTAACGTCGTTAAGAAAGAAAACCGTATGAGAAACTTCGCGTCAATGATGATATAATAGTAATAAATAATAAATAATAATACAATTAGGTAATTAATACGCTATAATATGAGTAATATATTTAAAAACGCTTTAAGTCACACGACGCGAGTCGCATTTGTTCAGGAAGTAAAAACCACTGACCATCGTCCACGGCGGTTGCAGGTTTTTTGCGCAGTCCCGTCACCGTGTTCGCAGTAGGTCGCGAGTTTTCGTGCTCTAACCCATCATATTATAATATACACCTACTATACAAAGTAAACAGTAGTTATACCTCCAGTCGATAAACGCCAATAATAACGAATTAATTACGACGCGGACAGAAGGTACACTTTACATAACCCTCCCACCCCCCACCCCTCCAAATAACGCCCGCCCCGTTACACATTATTTTACTTATACATTAGCATCGTCACTGCACATTCCTGAAGAACATGCTGAGCTTCCACACGGCCATAGGCTTTTTGAACACAGTCACGGAACCGTCGCGTTCCATGCCACCCAAAAGGTACACCGCGTACTCTTTGACTTGATGATGCTCGACGACTGCACCGCCACCACCGCCGCCGCGACCCATCGCCGACGCGCGTCCAGCGCTCGCGGCCCGCGCCGCTTTCGTCGACGACCGGACGTCCGAACTCGAGTTGAACGCCGTCGACGAGTTTAGCGCCAAAGTCTTGGGCGGCGCCGGACGGTTCATGTCGCGCATTTCGAACGCGTTGTCGCTGTCCTCCAGCAGACTGTCCGGCGGACTGTTGAGTTTGACGTAATCACCTGCAGCATAAACAAACGAGACGTCGAAAAATACACTTTAGTCTGTAATATATTATTTTGATATATAAACAATTTAATATTTTTAATGCAAATATGCATTTTGCAGACGACCCGTATAGTCCTGCAGGGGCGGATCTAGGATTATTTTATACTGCAGGGTATGCTATACGAATATTATTATTTTACGTCATATTTATGTCAGGCACAACAATTATAATAAATTATGTAATTTCTTAACAAAGAAAAAATAATGTTAACGCGGCTGATGGGGGGAATGGGAGTGTCAATTACACCACCACTGTAGTAATAACTGATTATGCGAGTAACTAGTAGGTACAATTAATATAACTTATAACATTATATTATTAATTAATATTATTATTTATTTGGTATTATTATCATTATGGTGGGGCGGGGAGTGGCTTTTATTGGTAGAGGGTACCCTTAACTCGTATACAAGCGAGACAAGTCTGAATAAAGTTTAATCAAACTCGACATGCACGCGGGTACACTAGGTACCTACCTATAGTCGCTATAGAATATATAAGACGTGTACCTATAACATTATGGAAACATTTAATATAAAAAATAGAATTTGAAATTCGTTTTAATTTTCTCTCATAACCCAGTTCCGTATTGTTTTGAACCCTGAACAGTGAAACTATTCGAAAAATTGAGTATAAATAAAATATTTTCTAAATTAAATTAAAATATAAGTTATTATGAAACTACGCGCTACGGTAACAGCAGTTAGACTGTTACAAACTTTTAGTCTGAGTAAAACTAGTTTAAAATTAATGCAATCAGGATATTCCTGTAGGTATAATACATATAAATATATAAAACATACACAGTTTATAGAGGATCAAAATGGAAAAAATACAGAATAAAATTAGTAATAATATTGGTACGGAATGAAAAAGCATGAACCGCGTTTTTTATAAAAATTATCGTAATATTATATTGCTGGGAATTCGTGTATTTTTTGTATTTAATATTTTATGAACAAGAAATTCCATTATTAATATATTTGATAAGAATTTGTTAGGGTTATATGTACAATTAAAAGAGGACAAACCCACGGGATATCATTAAAAGTAGTTACGCCACTATGTTTTATTGTCGCTTAGGGACTAATAACCACTAAAAATAGCAAAAATATAATTTGAAAAACCAATTTGAATTAAACATAATATACGTGTTGTTATAGAGGGTTTTCAGCTCACACTTCATACATTTTATTTAAAAAACATACACCTTAATATAATATATTAATATTGTTTGCAAACAAAAAAAATAATACGAAAATAACGATTCGGACGCAACTTTTGCATAGAAAAAGACATGAAATGTGTGGTCGCATATAATGGTTTTATTAAAAATGAGTGTAGAAAGATCTAATTTATTCTTTTAAACTTTTTTGGCAGCAAACTTTGGTGATAAAAATATTAGCTAACCCCTCAGACTTTTTAATGGATTTTCGCCAATGGCAAATAATGACGGCCCGACTGATGCCGCCAGCGGGGACAATTTATATAATATTTACAAAAGGGAGAGGGATGAGCCAGTGTTATTGTTCATTACGGATCTATACATATATACATTATATACCGTGCTAGTGGCGTAGCCAAGGGGCCCTCAGCCTTCCCCGAAATTTCAGGAAAATTTAAAAGAGCTTTCAGTGTTCTTTGAACGTATTACCATATTGAGTATTACAATGCTATTACGAATAAGCGACGTAATTGTATATTAAAATTGTTATTTGCAGTAAGAGTATAAACTGTTATTTACCTACAGGCTTATCAGCATACCAAACTTATGAATGATCCTAGTGGAGTCTCTCCTATACATACAAAAAACTATTAGTAAATAAAAATGCTGGATACTTATGCCGGACTATATATATTATTAGTATATGACCACAATGATGATTCCTGGGGACGGAGTGGCCGAGCGGACTAAGGCCGTCGGCTGCGACGCAGCCGACCCAAGTTCGATTCCTTGGCCACGGGCGGCATATTTCTTCGGGCAAGTCATGGTGGCCGGAGAAGAAGTGCCGCCAACCCCCATCCGGGCATGGCAGATACCTACAAGTGCCCACCAAAAAATCTGCCAAACACACACGTGTTCCATCGTCTACAGTTCCAAAAGCTAATAACCTCAGTAGTTGAAGCCTCAACCCCTCAAAAAAATAAAAATAAAAAATAAACACCATTGTAAAACCACTAGCTCCTTGCTCCGCTCAGAATCTAAAATAAAAAAATAATGATTTCTATATTTTTCACTTGTGTTCGAGTTTCTACCTAAGAAAGAGTCTAATACTTATGTTGGTATCAATAGTAATATTGTTCATCGCTAAGTTTTAAACTTTCTCCTTCAGACATTATTTGGGATTGGGAGACTACTTCACGTGTAGGTGTTTCCTGGATGACTGGATAACGCTAATAAACTGAAGTGCCTCAACTCAAACAACAACAAATATTTTTAGGAAAACCGCCCAAAAGTATTCGTGGGACTCAATTAAATATTACCGATTATTGTACCTATAATATTTACACAAATCACAGTGCTTAAATAGTTACCAACCTTTGGATATGGCGTTCTGTATGTCGGCCGCCATGTAGTTGGGGTTGGAGAAGCACATGGGCCCGTCGCCGCTGTTGGGTGACTGGTGCACCGTCTCGATGCTGACGTAACCGGAAGTGATCTCACCCGGTTCCTCGGGAGTGCTGTACGGGTTGCCAAACCGGGCGGACGCGGAACTGGTCATCGGGTAGCTGCGCCGGTTGAGCGTCTTGTTGAGCGTCGACGACCCGGACGACAGCAGCCCGTTGGGGTGGAACCGCATGTGCACGGACCCAAAGTCGTGATCGAACTCGACGCGCGGGCTCGGCGCCTCCTCGCCCTCCAGGTACACGAGCTTGGTGGCCTCGACCGGGGTCAGGGCCACCCCAAAATTGGGCACGGACATGGGGTCCCGGGGCATCCTGCACGGTGGGAACGACGACTTATAGCCGGGCGGCGACGCGTTCGATACCACCGGCGATATCAGCGACCGAGCGATAACGTTAGCCGACTGCGACTTGACCATGTTCTGCTGTTGCTGCTGCACGTGCGAAGCATCGGCGGACACCACGCTGTCCGTGCTGCTCAGAACGCTGTAGGTCTTGTTGTGCGCCAGCCGGTACAGGTTGAGTTGCGAAAGTTTCGATATCTCTTTCAGAATGTTCACGTTCGAGCCGCCCAAAGACGATGCCCGGGACTCAGACCGGCACTGGTGGTGCCACTGATGCAGGTGGCCGCTGTGATCCCGGTCGCCGCTGCCGCTCTGCTGTTGTCTGTCCGCGACCGGCCACTCCTGGACCGCCGGACCACGATGGGTGACTGTACGCCGTTTTCGCGACTGCTCTTGGTCGTCGACGTCGAAGTCGTTTCCAACACCGTCAGCGTCACGGCCTCGCAGATCGCCGGAGGCTGCGGATAGGTAGTGTGCACTTTTTCCCAAGTCTCGGTTGCTGTAAGAAAAATATTGAAACGTTCGTAACATTCGTGTAAAAGGCTTTCTTTTCGCCTGCCAAGAATAAAATGAAAGCGTCGGTATGCGTTTTATACTTCATGGATATTGAGTAACTAAGTAAGTGTTTAATATTATTTTTATTTATGAATCCACGCGAGAGTTCGACGATTGAGAATACTGACTAACTACCAACCAAGTACCAAGTACCATGTGAAAATATATAACAGTAATATTTATTATATATAATTTGCACAAGGTACAATGTTGTAATTTGTACCTCTTGATGTCGGTATGGAAGTTGTATGGGTTCGATGTTCGAACCGCTGTTTCTACAGTATACTATTTTATATACTATATAAGATAGGTGCTACTTATGCTGTCTACTTTGTATTATCATAGATGTATACCATAACGACTACAGACCATATGAAACAGCTGTTGTTCTATCTACAACTTGGGTTTGTACTAATTACGACCATGGGGCACGAACTAATATTCTTGTTAAAAATCGTCAAAACAAGAAATCACAAAACCTGATACTATATAATTTTCATCAAAATATAAAAAAATATAAACTCTAAAAAGTAAAAATCGTAAGTATAATATATAGGTAGAAAAATATAATTCTGTTTTAACTGATTTAAAGATTTCTGATAACTAATGTTACCGTTTTATTTTATATAATTTATTATAGAATTGATTTTTTCTAGTTAAATTAATTTATATGATGAAATATAGGAAAAATATAAGAAGTTTATGGCCTGCAAACATTTAAGCACCAATAACTAAGAAACTGTAATTATGCCTCTCATAACTACCTACGCCTATATAACACATTTTAGGCATTATGTTTTTGTTTATTTTTTTAGTTTAGTAATCTAACTAATTTGTACGCATTTTTATGTTTACGTAAACATAACCCATTATCTATTATTCAACACAGAATAAAAAATGTGTCTGCTGAGTTCACACATTTAATTAGGATCATTTTATTCACTGGTTAGTTGTTGTCATATTTACTATCGTGTTTTAACGGGATAAAAAAAAACAGTAATTTAAAACTGTTTTAATTGTTTCATATTTATTACCTACAGTTTGTTTAATCCTAAATATAAGACATGGTATATTATATAAATTATTACCGAAATAAAATTTCCACAAATCATTACTAATCTGCCCTCCTTTTTTTCCACCAAAAATAATCATAGAACCCATCACTTTGGAAGCACAGTGGCCATGCAATAATCCTGGATTTACTTTGGTCTTCAAGATACTCCATTTTTTCTTCACTGAAACAAAATGTAATTTTTTAATACAGTTTACAACAATTATGTGAATTTTGTTGAAATTATATTTATTATATAAGCAAATTGCTCAAATTTATTATTATTAAAATATGCAATGATTAAACATTATATGACTTATATTACTATGAACAACAAACTATAAGAATAATAAAATAAATATAAGTATTTCACCCCATAGAAGTTAATAAATTAAAATATATTGCAATGACCATTTGAATTGAATTAACAATGTCTTACAATTTAATATTATAGCATATAGGTACCAACCAAAATCAAATCTCCACAAATCTGATCTTTCATGTAAATCTGTCATTCCTCCATACACCCACATTACATCGTCGTGTATGATTGCTGAATGTTTGTGTCTCGCTGGTGGTAGTACTCTTCCTTGAGAAAGTAAATGCCATGACTCGGTATCTAAAATAAAAATAAATTCAAATGGTTTTAGTTTATTTTCTGAAGTAAAAAAAAATAATGTTGATGCATAAAACAATATTATATATCACTTTCAAAACTATGAAAAATATAACTATATAACCGCTTGAGAAGTTTAAAATTCAAAAATAATTATAATTTATATATTTTAAAGTTACCGAAGTGGAAAGCCCACATTTCATTCGTAGATCCTTTTAGGTCTCTATATCCTCCATAAATAATCATTGAATTTCTATATACTAATGCAGTATGACCTCTTCTGCCCTTTGGTACATTTGAACCGGATTTTCCTTTGACTTTTTTCCATTGATTATCCTAGAATATTAAAAGAAACTATTTCCATCAAAATGTTTGAGTTATATAATATTATTTACATTGCTAAACCTATATACTATATTGTTTTCAAAACCCATTAACTACTGGCGTTACGGGGTGTTGGTTAATACATAATATTTGCTGCGGTTTAATGTTCTGAAAGAGTCGATGTAAATACCGACGTTTCCCTCGTCCGCATTATAACGCCAACCAGCATTATAATAACGTTCCCCTCAATGGGCATGCAGCAGTTGCATCGACATTACGAGGGTGCGTTTATTAATAAATACCATTTCATTTTATAGCGCTCAAAATATAAGCACCTCAGAATGCAAAGTTGTAATTTATATAATATATAGGTATACTGGTATTATATATATATATATATCCACGCACAAATTCAAAGCAGCACGTTTATAAAATTGATCCATTAAAATTAAATGAACTCAAACTCAACAGCTGATGTTTATTTTTCATACATAGGTACTGCAAAAAAACACATTTTACATAATTTCACATTTTTATCAATGTGTTTTTATTATTTATAAAATTACTTTAAAGTTTTAATACTATCTACTCTAAAGGTTATTGAAAATTCCAAAACTGAACAGAAAAGTGAATAATGACTATAATCAAATGTTTAGCTGTAGGATTATATAGGATATTTTTAATATTTTTTTTTTTTTTATGACATATCACTAGCCAGTGCGTATATTCAAACAAATTTAGCAATTTCATAACAATCAAAATGGCAAGTAAGTGAGAAAATGGTAGTAGGAAATATTTATTGCTATACATTTACAAATTACAACTTAAACTAGTATAATACGAATTTGTTTTAGTGCCTTTGTTTTCTTGTCAGAGTTTCACAAGACATTATATAAATGATGTAATTTAAGATACTACTAGAAAACCTATTTGGTAATTCTTTTAAAAACATTGTTTATCTTTATACATTCATAATAATTATTTCATTACTTTAAAAGCATATAACTGCGTAGTGCTTTAAAATTCTAATTAAATTCAGTAGGCATAATCTAATTGTTTAAACCCAGTAATTTGTTTGTTTTGTACATCATATTATGTTTTTATTTAATGAATAATTTTTAACGATTAAGATAAATAAATTAGTGTTATAAAATTTTTTTTTTTTTTTTTTTTTTTTTTTTTTTTTTTAAGAGAAATTTACAATCTATACTAACTAAGCACATAAGTAAATATGATGACAGTTTACAAGAGAGAAAAAAATAACATGAATAATATGAAGAGGGAGGCCATCCATTGATGGAACCCAACGTGAGTGTTATAATTGATGAGTCGCATTTAAGCAAGACCAACTTACATAAGTTTGGTTATGACGGTTGTAAGCAGTGAAATAAGAGGGTTTAGTATAATGAAAATTAAATAAACGATCCATGTTTTAGATATTATGTTTAGACTACATATTAGATAATTTATTTAAATTAATGATATAAATACATATAATTACAGGTACTGATATATTATATAGGACCTATATTGTACCTACCTAATTTTTTAAAAAGTACCAATAATACCCCAAGATGTTTGATAATTTTTTTGTTTTTTATATGTAGGGGGGAGGAACGGTTGAAACGGTTATTGAAACATGTTTGTATGTGTGGCAAAGATTTGTAGCTAAAAATCCCGGATGTCACCCATCCGGTAACTATCAACAGCCAGCTAGCTGTACCAGTCGATACGTACACTCAGAGAATTTCGGCAGTTGAGTGCACGGACCGCGCCACACAAAGCCACTTGATAATTATTATTTTGTTAATGGATTGATAATTTAAAATTATATATAAATTGAAACAATTAAGAATAAAACGGGCAATATTAACATTTTATAAACCTACTATCGATATGCATTTATATAATATTGATCATTTTCTAACTGTATTTTCATAATACTAATGTATTTTACAAATCATATTATTATACAATCCTACTGAACAAGGATTAACATAATATTATCCATAAATTGTAACACAGGCGTTAAAGAAGGGTAACTTAATCCCGAGGCAATAATGTTGAGTTATCCCGATACAAGGAGAATACTGATTTTAACGGATTTTAAAAGTATATGACAAACAAACTCTGCTACCCCATCGATTCAACTTTGTAAAACCCTAGTGTAATACGGATATTTGTTGGCGTCGAAGGAGGAGATATAATTCTCGATTCGTTAGTTATGGCCTACGGGGGCGCACACGCCAGTTGCAGCTGCCACAACGCGCAATCCATCAAAAACAAATGAAAAAAAAAGTAGATAAATAAGAAAACAACAGTGTACGTGCTTCGAAGTCCGAATAACCGCCCACCACACTTGTAAGAAATTGGATTATCTCGATTGCGCGTCTTGGCACTTTCACGGCAAGGATCAACTTTTTCTCCCATCTATACGCAATGCAAGCGTGACTACGGTTTACACGAGATTTTGATACGAAGCCAAAGTACGCGCGATGGTCGTGAGCTTTTATCGGGTGTAGGTAGATG